GCAGACAGTTTACTCGTATGGTTTACTTAGCAGTTTATACATTTCTATTATAAAAATTATGTTTATGTTAGAATTAACTAATATGTTTCAAAATTTAATCGTAATTATATTTTTTGGATATGCTTATTTGCATTATTTTGTTTGAGAAATTTCATATATGCATTACTCGTTTATTATCCAACATTCTTATAAGCTTTTGTGGTCTATTTTTAGAGAGCAATGCACCATTCATGCAAATCATTGTCTTCCTGCCTTAGATTTTCACAGGAAAAACTGTCTAGGGAATTCTCTTCCTTATGCTCTAACCTCCTCGGAGGATATTTTCGGGGATAACACTTATAGTTTGGAGGCATGGACTGCTTTGCGTGTCATTCCAGCTTGTTGGGATAAATTGAAGGTAAGAATTCAAGAAGCATTCTTATATTAACGACATATCTTCGTACTTTGCTCATTATTTATCATGACTCATATCTGACGGCTCTTTTTATAACCGAAGTCTGTTGTTTGCTTATATTGGGTTCATTGTTTCAAAAGTCCATTAAATTAAGATGTTACGCATTATTATGCTCTTTGAGACCAATCAATGTTGGTTCAAAGTCTTGATTAGCCCTCGATCTATACAATATTTCGCAGATTAAACTGAACATAGTGCATAAACGCTCCTAAGTAATCGATTAACATGACTATAGAATAAGTCAAAAGCATTATTCTAACTATCCGTTTAAAGCACAAAATAGATCTGCATTTGATGACTCCTTGCTATTTGATGGTATTACTGATCAGAATAGGCCCAGACGAAGGCTTATTTTCTTTTGCCTATAATTTAGCAGTAGATCACTTTCCCTTCTTGTCTATCCAAAATGTCCTATCAGAAATAATGGTCTGGATCTAGCTTCTGATGCTTATTCGGTCACCGTTTCCAAATTGCTGAAGGTTGTTAAATTTGACCGGACTTGAAAAATACTTTGCTATTAAAATTTAAAATTTACTGAACTTGAGCATAAAAGGATGTTGATATGGCTTGGCTATGCGATTATAATAATCATAAAGTTATTCGTTTAGCCAGCCAGCAGATATCTCAGACTTCGTATATATGAGAGAAAGCTGGGTTTGAGAGAGTTTCCTAATATTTTAACCTGACCAGATTCTTAATTCAGAACCAAAATTTGATCGGAAATGGTTTGGGAATTGGCCACATCGGAAACAGGAGAGTAACTTCTATTTATATTTTGCAAGAAAGTTTTTGGTTACCTGTAATCGTTAGAACGAGGAAGACAGCTACAAAAGGCTCAATGAAGGTGGCAGATTATAGCCATATCCTATTTACATTCTCTATATTCTTCTCCTTTTCTTTAAAACACATTTCCTTTCCCGAGCCAGTTTTTTCTCTGCTCCGTCTACATTCCTGAATGCTTCAACGCTTCCTATGCCTGGCATCGCCGTGCCTTATTTGTCCATGGTCAGCTTCCTGCTCCGGCGGCTGATGCTGATACTTCTTCTGCCGCTTCCAAGTTCAAGACCTCGAATAAGTCTGTACTCGACCCTGGAGAGACGGCTTTGTCTAGAAGGCATTCGACTAGATGGCGTGTTGTG